AATAATCTTTATGAGGTGTCTGGTTGCAGCCAACATTTTTTTTGTGAAAACCAAGGCAAAGTAGCTATTGAGTAGCTCCACCTTCTTTCACCTTCGGTTTCGAGTTCCCCGTGGTTATCTAATGGTGGACCCACAGCATCCTTGGCCTTTTGTTCCAAGCCAGCAGAGTTACAGAACCTCTTCTTGTCATCTGTAGCCTCCCTCACCAGGTGCAGCTTCTTCTTTGTCTTTGCCTTCCTGATTTTGTCCTGGAGGTCTCTTGCTTTCTTGTTGTACGCTTCCTTGGTGACCTTCCCATCTTTCCATTACCCATATGCTTTCCTTTTTTGTTTGAGGCAGCCTGCAAGCATATTGTGCTGCCACATTGATCTCTTACCATTCCTTGTGTAATTCCATTGCATTAATCGTTTCATGCTGGGCTTCCAATACTGTGTCCTGCAGAAGCTCACAGCCCTCCTGGCCACCATTATCCTTCAGTTTGTCTTCCCAGGGCACCATGAGTCAGCTGAAATCCACCTTTCTGAAATGTGGCCTCCTTGTTCTGCTGGCCTCATGCTCTCCCTGTCTCAGGATCTGGAGTCCTATCATGTCATGATCACTTCCTCACCACGTTGTCCATTACTTTCACATCCTCCAGGAATTCTTTCCTATTGGTCAAGAGAAGATCCGAGATTGATGATCCCCTAATTCTGGGACAGAAAGTTGTCCTGCACAGGGCTTAAGAACTGACTTGACATTTTATAGTTTCCTGAATTGTTCTCTGATCAGTATCACTTTATAGCACAAATATGCTCTTTCCGGTTCCACTCAGATGGATCCCAAATCTTGACAAAATTCCTCCTCCCCAGATCCCATTGTCAAAGAACATCTGCCATTTCTGTCAAGCTTTCGTTATTCCCAGAGCAGAGGGATAAGCTGCAACTAACAGGTGATTTCTGAGCTGCTCACTTCCCCCATCACCTCTTCTAAAATGTGACTTGTCACCTAGGATGCTATTCTTTCTGTTCATCAAATCAAATGCCAATGCCAAGACTTGGTAATCTGCAGAATAACAATTGATGAGCTGCAAATTATGAACAGTGAATAGCCTTACTTATCTGCTATTCATCCCCAAGCTCCGCATGGTAGAGTAAATGTCAATGCTCACTTTGCAGTACTGAGCTATCAATTTTCACAGATGTGTTTTGAGAATTAATGAGTGGTCTTATGTTGTGAAAGAACCATATAGGTACTAATTTTGAGGGTTCTTGTTAGACATGAAGTTCCCATGACACTCACCATTACTGGTGTTTGTCTATTATAATGAATAAAAATGGAAAACCTTCTGAGGGATTCAACGCTGTATCTATGTCAGAGTATTCAAAAATTTTTTACCTTTTTATCAACTCATAACTATTTAATTTTCAATCCTTTTCTTTGCATCTTCCTTTAAGAAACATTTTTAGCAAAAGAATAATGATAATCTTGTTGGTTTGATACAAATCATATGTTAGAGTAGTCACAAAAATAGAAAAGAAATCCATGCTGAGAATATTACAAAATCATTTCTAAAATTAAGCTCTTTGTGGAAGAAAAGCAAATTATCATGTAAAAACCTTTCAGAAATCTAACCGCATCTTTCTAAAATCCTGTTGCTATGACAGAAGAGTTAATTTAAGAAAATCCCAATCCCAGTATATGCCAGACTTGCACCCAAAGAGCCTTCAAGCCATCTGAGCTCTGCCCACTGTGTCTGTACATTAGGGTGTTTCTGGGTCTGCTTACTAGAGGAAAACCAGTCAGGTGGTTGATTCTATTCTGGTCAGCGTCAAGCAGGTACTTGCAAATACAGGCCTGCAAATACACTGTATCCTACCCCACTTTATCAGTCCAGCCTACCTTCATATTCTTCTTCTTGTCTCTTATCCCCTTCTTGATAAACGATCTTCTCTTTACTTCCCTCAGGATGGTCCATTACACACGTCAGCCTTTTGAGGCGTTCCAAGGTGAAGTTGCAAGCATTTGTCACCGTAACTGTTCCATCTGCATTGTGAACACTGCCAACCTCAGGGTGACGATCAGTCAGGACTCCCTCAGGTCTCCAGGTGATTTTGGGGGCAGGCCTTCCAGTAGCCGAGCAAATCGCAGTGAGGATCCCCTGGTTAATGAAATTTACGTGGAGCTCGGTTCTGATTTCTGACACAGCTAAAAGCAGAAACGAAATGCAACCGAAATGAGGATGTTCCTTTAGAGTTTGTTAAATAGTGTTATAGGTTTGCTTAAATGTTACTGACACTGATGGGCATCACACCTACTTAGTTTGTAAAGCTTTCTTATTGGCTTCTGTACATTTATCTGGAATAAACAGCTCAGGATAGGTTTGGAGACAAATCCTCTCCCATCAGTCTAAGTGAAATCTTACTGAGAAACTGCTGCATTAACTTCTAAGTAAAAATTCTCCATGTCAGGGGAAAGTCCCTTTGGAGACTGGATACAGAATCAAAGCAAGCAGAGAATGTCCAGAATTCTTCTTTCTTCCAAGAAATATGCTTAGGTTTTTGAGTTATCATCTGGCAAAAATCACTGCTTCTCTTTTCCTGCTCATCAATGTCATAACGAATGAGCATTAACACCAGGGTTACATCATTGCCATAGGAGACACAATGGGGTGGGAATATTCTAAAACATTATCATAGACATTATATGTCAAACATTTATTTCTTAATTAATGAATTCACAATGAAGGCAACTCCATGGATATTTCTAGTCTCCTGCCAAAAGGGGCCATATAATGCTAAAGAAAATGGGGACAACTTTACCTTGCACAGTTAAGTAGGTGGTTCTACTGAAAAAACCATGTGAAAATGCATTGAAGATGCATTTATAATCTCCTTCATCCTGTAGTGTCACATTACAGAGAGTGATGGATGATGCATTCAGACTTGTATCAGTAAATAGGACTCTGTTCTGAAATAGTCCCATGGATTTAGGTCTGTGTCTCTTGCTGCTGGTGGCTATGTTCTGGAATAAAGAACCTTT